GGGCAAAACATAACATTTAGACTGTTTTTAATAATTTATGAATCAATTAAACATTATCTTGGTAATATATTGATAATATCTAAATATCTTGATATTATTATAATATCTTCACAGTCCTCAAAATATTGAAATATCATCTCATTTCGAGATTTAAAATAATATTTAAAAATATCATTAAACAGAGATAAATATTATCTCGGTAATTACAATAATTGACCCAAACACAAGTTCTCCACATAAATGTCTTTCCATGATAATTTTAACACAACCATCCTATAAAAGTTCGTAAATGAAGCACACTGTGCTATCCTAGTCCATTCTCTCTTCTGATTGTCGCCCTACCGTCACCATCTCTCCTTCACCCTTGTGCTGCCAAGCCCCCGTTTTAGTTTGCGACTCTCCCCTCATGTTCTCATAGTTGACAAATTGTGTCTTAATGAATAGCTTTTTGGTTACTCTTGTTTGTAGATATTTTGATTTTAGTACTTTAATTAGCATTATTAGTTGTTTTTAGTGATTGTTTTGTTAAATGTATTGGTGTCAGGTCTAAGGGTGTTTGACCTCCAACAAATTAAAAATAAAAATCATTTTTTGATAGTCAGTAATTTAAACGTCGTATTGTCGAATTTTTCGTAATATTTGTGGGATATATATTATACTGAGTGAACATTGTTTTCCCTTTCGAAATTCAATATAAAGATTAAGAACTATCTCCAATTTGAAATGTTCCTTTGATTTCTTTTATATAAAAATAAGAGGAAAGAGTATTGATAGTCATTGTATAGAATCTAAAATTTTTAGTCGGATAAAATTGATCACTTTTTAGTTCATTAATACATATATTTTAATTAATATTTTATGAAATTTTTATTGGTTGCATGTTATGTTGATTCATGAATATACTTTATCTATCTATCTATCTATCTATCTATCTATCTATCTATCTATATATATATATATATATATATATATATATATATATTTTTTTTTTTTTTTGATATATAATAATATTTCTTAATATAATTTTAGGAAATTAGAATAAAAATGATTATTAACAAAATCATTGTTTGATTTGTATATTTTATTTGATATTTATATATTGATACATGAGTGATAAACTAATAATATGATTTAAAAAATTTCGCTTATTCATTGGAGAAATCGTTCGGTGAATATATAAGACAAAAATTATTTATTAAAAAATGTATTTTGATTAGCAAAGCCATAATCTGCTTAAAAGCATTAAATTGATATAACTGATTTAACCAACATTTTCATTTAACAAAAGACCAACAATTTTGCAGAATTAACAATTAGTTTCAAACTTTTGTATAATATTGATTATGGGTCTTGGATATTCATGTTTATTATATAATTAGACCTTAGTATAACTTAATTTATCTATAGTCTTATTTTTAGTCTTATTTTTGTTTTGTTTTGTAAATTTAGAGTCATAAACTTTTCTTTAGGTTTCTCTGTAGTTAATAATTTAAATTTTGTAATTTTTTCTACATTCATATTTACTTCAAGATTCAAGTACGTCAATTCAATTGTTTAATACAACATTTTTTAGATCAAATTATTCATCTTTTTATTCTCTATTTTCTTTACTTTAATTCATGCAATTTAAACTTCCTATGGTTTCCTACTATTTTGTTATGGGATTTTAAATTTTGAGAGTTAGTTTTCTATATTATTGATTGATATTTAGTTTGTTCATAATTCGAACATTTATAATTCAATATATTCAAATGTAATTATTATTTGGTTAAATTAAATCAATTTTAGGTTTATCTTATTGTTTTTATTAGAATTGATTATGCATTTAGATTAAGTGAATTAATTATCTAGTTAATTGAATTACAAATGTTTAGAAATTGTACAAATATATGTTATGATAACAATTTAGACCTAAAAAAAATATATATAATTAATGAGATAAAATGAATATTAGAAAAATAATTATTATTTTTACATTTAACTTATATATTTATTGTTCTTCTTAGACTAAAAATTTATCAAACTTCCCCTAGCTTAGCTATTAAAATAGAATCTAGAATAATTTATTAATATTCCTCAAGAATATACAATCTAGTTTGTCTTTAGTTATTATATGTTTTTCATGTTAACAACCGTTTGATCTATTTAGGCAACAAAATATCCTTTAAATCAAAATGACACCAGTGATGATCTAGGTTTTAGATTCAATTAAAAAGAGTTTGATAAATTTTCTATGCATATTTTTTGTCAAATTTCACTTTGCTATTTTTTGTACGAAGATGATGTATATTTTGTGCATCTAGTATGTATGATGATGTGTTTTTTGCACTTTTATTAGAAAAGAAATATGTAGTTTTAGACAATTTGATAAAAAAAAGCTTGTTTAAATATTAAGATTATGTGTAAGTTGTTCACCAATGAACAACTTCTTATCCAATATTTCTGTGAAGATCTCATTATTATGATTAGGGGTACGATTGATGTACAAATCTTTGCCAATAAAATTCCAATAGTTGTAAAAAATTAAGAGTGAGTATACATGTTGGTTTGAGTTGGATTGATTGATCAAACTCATTCCCCAACCTCATAAAAAAATATGAATTAGATTAGGTTAGGTTAGATTAAATTTTTGTATTTTTATATTTTGTCCAATATAAACCAATCTATTCTGAGTTAGGTTAATTGGATCATAAATTTTTAAACATTATTTTTTATTAAAATTTTTAATTTAATATATATTTATTAGAATATTTTTTTAAAATATACTATTATTTACTATTTGAACAATGTAAAAATATATTAGGTCAGAAATATATATTTAGTTTAATTTAATAAATTAATAGTTAAATAATAACCATATATTATTATTAATTATATTTATAATTTAATAATTTTAATAATGAGCAAGATTAAGTTGGGAGGTAAACATAAAACCTCTCACCCAATTCGTTGAATCGGATTAAATCATCACAATACCCAACCCAAACTCACTTGGAAACAATTTATTGAGATCATGAACTCTAATTCACAACCCCTTTTTACCAAATAGAACACAAGTTAGAATTTTTTTTTTTTTCAAAACTGATTATTTCATGGACTACACCAACCACTAAAAAATAAATTTGTTAACCTATCCATCATGATTAAACAACTTACACAAGCATAAGCACACCATCCACCACAAAGCTTGTCAAAGCAGGATTTTCCTTTGGTTGGAGCGATTCATCTCAGCATGGCCCTCATGATTGCTCTACTCTTCAAGACATGAACAATACACAAGATCCACAAACTTTTATTTTATTGCTCCACATTTCAACAAATTCCTCTGCAGCAAAATATGATTTCTCCTCAACAAATATAATCCTAATTAGATAAATCTTACAAATTTGAATACGAGAAACAATGTTATCACTTTGCAACAAGCTAATCATTATTTTTTTTTCATTCATAGATGTTAATCATTGATTCTACGATCAAATAATATATTATTAAAAAATCATAAATAAATATAAAAAAGTAAAAAAAAAGATAAAAAAATAAAATTATAAATATATAAATAAATATATAAAATGATCATTAATTTTAAAAACAAAATCATAAATTATATAAAAGTTACAAAATTAAAAAATAAAATTATAAATATACAAATAAATATATTAAAATTTGAGAGTCAAAATAATAAATTATATAAAAATTACAAAACTTTGTAATTCACTAACTCTTATTTTTTTTAAATAATTATCTAAGTCATCCATTCTATCTAAACCAAAAATATGTCTTCACAATTTCACCGATGAAAAAAGTCAAAACCAAAATAAAATAATTTAAAATCTTATTGCATATTTCGTCTAGTACCGAATAAACGAACTTACGACGCATATGATTATAAATATACTTTAATTCTAACTAAGGATTGAAACTAACATTAAATCATTGAAAAATAAAATTTGACAACTAATTAATATTATAAATCAAAATCAATCAAGGATTCACATAAATTGATTGTGAAAATTGTTGTGAATAAAAAAAAAATGCAAGCTTTACGACACTAAAGCCAGATAAGAAGATTAAAGGATTCATCACAATGGAAGAAAAAGAAGAAGCTGAGTAAAGGGATCATGTGTTCGTCAAAAAATATTGAACTTCAAAAAAAAAAAAAACTATTTTCTCTCTCTTTCCTCTTTCTTCCTGTGATATTATAATAACATAATAGCCATTGTTCTATATTCTCACAACTTCTTTTTATCATAACAAAAATAAAGATTTTTATTTTAAAAGTAATAATATAATTTTATAAATGAGATGAATAAAAAAATATACTTTATATAATGGTATAAATTTAATAAAAGTGATATTTTAAAATTTGTTTCGTTCAACAGAGATAATAAGTTTGCTCGTTAGATTTTTCTTTTTAAAACCAACAAATTATGCAAACTGATGATTTAATATATATATATATATATATATATATATATATATATATATATTAATTTTTAAAAGTTAATTTAAAAATAAAATAAATATCAATTTGTATTTAATAATATTTGCAAATAAATATTTTTTTTTGTATTTATTAAAATTTCAAATTTATATGAATTATTTTATCATTTTTTTTATAAAACATACAATTTGGTCATATATATCTTTTTCTTTTACCTCTAACTATATAAATTTATATCATATTAATCTGTCATATTTGTGTTTTTAATGTAAATTTATTAATAAAACTATTATGATACGTTATTTAGATATTTATATTTATTTTGTAAGTTAAAAATAAAATACTATATTTTTTTATTATAAAATTATATATTTTGAACTTGAATAAGTGGTTATTTTAAAACCATTATTAAACCTGGTATCTACTTTTATACGTGACATAAATACTGTACATCACAGCAGGGTGGCAGTGAACAAAACAAAACGGTTTCGTTCTGCTTCAGAAATCAAGAGTCACCGGCAAACTCTCTCTTCTTTTGTTCTTCTCCTACCTCTTGAGAATGGAAGACCAAGGTGGTGGTGGTAGCAGCACAAAACAGACGAACAATGCTTACGTGGACACGTCGAAAGCGGAGAGAGCAGTGTGGTTGATGAAGTGCCCTCCCCTCGTGTCGCGCTCCCTCCGCGCTCCTCCCTCAGAACCCTCACGCCCCGTCGCCAAGGTCATCGTCTCCATCGACCCTCTCAACTCCAACGACGACGATTCTCCTCCTCAGGTTCTTCTCCTTTCCTCTCTCTACAGATAATGAATGTGTGGATGCCATGCGCAATCCACATTCTGTGCCAATGCTTGTATTATTGATTGAGTCCTGAGTACAAATGTTGAGACCTAAAATTCACGGCCGCTGTTTTGGTATGATCAAGTTTTTCTTGAATTAGTCCTACGGATATCTTAGTAATTGGAAGATGGATACATTTTTAATCTCCTGCCATTGTTTTTGCAAATGATTTCCGAAAAACCTTAGGTAGATACGCTTTTGATGTTGTTCCTCGACATGCTTTTACATTACGGTTGCCTTTTAATCTATTGTTGAAATATCAGACCAATGTAGCTGATGCAGCCACAATCACGGCTGCATTGCGACCTCAGACACTAAAAAAAGCCTTCACGCTTAGCCAAAATCATAGTTGCGAGCTGATATTTTTACAACCTTGTTTTCAATCGGAATTGAAGTTTTATTTTAGCCTTGGTAATTTAGAGATATGTATTAAAAATCAATTCAGTTACTTAGGTGAAACAACAGTTGTGATCGGACAATAACACGACCAAAGTTTAATCTATTATTGAGATTGCAGAGAAATGTGGCCAGATGCAGCTCGCATTGCAGTCACGGACAATGAAAAACCTTGACATTGCAGCCAAAATCGTAGTTACAGGCTGATTTTTTTAACCTTTTTTTCAATTAGATTTGAAGTTTAATTCAACTTTGGTAATTTGCATAATAAAGATATGTATTAAAAACCAACAGAGTTACTAAGGTGAAAATCTTTTCTGATTGTAAAGTAACACCAAAAGACTATAGGGAACTTCATTTATGTTTTGTCGAATTTCTTTGTATTTAGGAAAAGGATATGTATATTATATTTCTATTGTGTATCATATGAAAATAGTTACTTTGGTTGTAGCTATTAGTGACACTTTTCCCTGTGACTTCTGTCCTTTTAAATTGATTGCTTAGTTAAAATACTCAGTTTACAATGGAGTTGGCTGGAACTGAAGCTGGACATATACCCCGATGTTATGTTATGGATATGTCTAAAGACTTCATTCCCATGTCTGTGTTTTCAGACACACAACAAGGTAAATAATTTTCATCTGCCAGTGATTGTGTACATTGAAAGTTACTTTGGTGATAGTTAAGCTCACTGTTATTTATATCTTGGTGTCAAATCTATCACATTAATGGGGTCAAATCTTTATAATTTTTTATTGCCAATCCGTTCAGTTTTTAATACTAAGCTGCATTTTGTTTTCTTATATTTCTATCCCATGTTTTATTGTCAACCATCCCATTTCCAGTGCTATGATGTGAAAAATTAGTCTATTACATGGGATTTCTATCCTTGAAACCTAATATGAACCTAATATGAATGACCCTTTGAAATAAAGTTTCTTACTTGATTTTTTTTAGTCCCATTTATTTTGTATCTGTAAGAGTAACAGTTTTGTGAAATATATATAGACGACATGCTATCTCAATGTTTTTCATTTGTGTTTCTCTGGTGCGGTTATTAACAGCTAACAAAAGTACTCAAAATACCTGTTGCTGGATATTAGACTGAAATCCTCTGTAAAGGGCATGAAGTTTATGTTGTTATCCATGCTTTTTGTTTGAGAGGAAGTCCACAAATTTAAAGGTTTTTTTTTTTTCCCATTCTCTTATTATGAGATTGAGAGGTCTCCTTAGTGATGCTTGGCAAATGGTTCTTCTAGGGGGTTTCTTTGTTGAATATGAAGAGAGACTGGCAAGTTTATTTAATTAATATGCTGTCCTTGTATATTGCGATACTCTTAGTCTACAACTACAACACTACATGATATCTTATTCTCTGCCCTTCTGCTTTTTTCTTTCACTTTTCCTAAAGATACTTTTATAAAGGACAGTATTTGGTTTGATATCCAAAGCATCATCATAAATCTCCTCTAAGTTAATTTAGAGAAATGTAAATCCAGCTATTGAAATTTCTGTTGTATTATTGCAGGAAAGATCTCTGTGGAGGGAAAAATACTTAACAAGTTTGACATGAGGCCCCATAATCAAAACCTTGAAGTCTATGGGAAACTCTGCCGTGAAAGGACAAACAAGTATATGGTCAAAAATAGACAGATTCAGGTTTTCTAATGGCTCTAATTGTCATAATCCATTGAGTTAGCCAAACAGTTCCATTATCTCTGACTTCTGCAATCTATTTTCAGGTTATTGATAATGATAGTGGGGCGCATATGAGGCCAATGCCAGGGATGATCAGTTTCTCAACTTCTGGACCCCCTGTAAATGGCTTAATCTCCTTCCTGTTAATATTTGTAGTCCTCAAGGAATGCATGCTTAGAGAAAGCCCCTTGTTTTGGCATACTGCCAGTTCATTGTCATTTTATAACTTATTGATCAAATCATCTTGCTTCCTCGGCCTTTTGTGTAGCTGAGAGAGATAGGTTGTGGAAAAGGTGGTGTTGTGGACTATAACTAAGGCTGATTATGCACTTCAATATTTTTATTAATTTATACTTCAGTAACAACAGAAGTTTGTGTTGGATTAGGAAAAGAAGAAAGCTCCTGTCAAAGCAACGGATACAAAGAGAACAAGAAGAGACCGTGGGGAGATGGAAGAGATTGTGTTTAAGCTATTTGAAAGGCAACCCAATTGGAGTTTAAGAAACCTCATACAAGAAACCGACCAACCTGAAGTATGTGCTTTGAGAAATTTTAGTTTTATAATCTGGTTTTATTGAACACTTGCACTTTCACAACTTAAATCTCTATACACAAAATGAATTGCAAACATAAAAGTTTGTTGCTTCTATTGGATATGCATATATGGTGAATGCTCTGACCTGTCTGATATAATATTGTGTGCAATTGAAATAATCTGTACAATATCGGTTAAAAAGTTAACATGAGTTTTTCATATACATTATTTTCAGGGGATTTTTTTAGAGATTTAACACTATCATGTATCATTTATGTTTTTTTTATGATAAGCGATGACGATAACGGTGTATATTATACTTTAATTGCTTACTTGGTAGGCCTCTACAAGCCCACGCGATTATGAAACAATATACTTTGAAATCGACGTGTTTGTAGTTATTGCTTTAGTAGAACCTGTTTAAACTAACGTGATGGATCTTTACGTTTTTACAGCAATTTCTGAAAGATATACTAAAAGACCTTTGTGTCTACAACAACAAAGGAACTAATCAAGGCACGTATGAACTGAAGCCTGAATACAGAAAATCTGGCGATTAGCGGTTTCAAATAGGTTTTATTTGTACTCATCCACTTATTAACCTTATTCAAATAATATATAGCTTACTCATTTCAGTTTCTTCATTAAGTTCAACTTGCAAACTCAAGCAGCATGCATCCTGTTAGAGCCTTTTCTGATCCTTCGGCACATTGTTTTGCAGATTTTGCTACATCACAATTTACTTTTGTTCCTAAGTTGGAAAGGAGAACTGGATTAATTTTTGAACGATTTAGGATGCCATTGGTAAATTAAGAAAAATTACTATGAGAAATTGCGCTGAAACTGGCAAAATGGCACAAGAGGTTGAGTTCTGCTTCTCTGACTTTTTAAAACTCTTTCTGAAACATAAATAAGTTTATGCATGCAACTTTGGATACATGGTAAGTTATTGGATGCATTGCTACTGCTGTAAAGGTAATTATAGATGTTTATAGTCATTATATTGCCTTGTAGAGCCCAGTTCGTTGTTTTGTTCATATTCTAAATATTAGAATGTTTTGGAGCATAATCGTTTTCAAAAGTTAAGGAGTAATAATTTTGGGGGGTCTTCTTAGCCTTTACATGGTTAGGATTATACAATTTTAGGTTCGGCAATTTTTCGAATGCACAATTTTGGTCTCTAAGATTGTGTTTGGACGAAGAATATTAATAATTCATATTTCAGAAAATTTGAAATGTTTGAATTTAAATTATTTTGATTTAAATTTTTCATTTTTTAAATAATAATTGGTTAAATAAATTTAAATTTTTAAAAATTCAAAATTCAAATTCTTTTTTAAAATATACTAGATGTAAAAATAAATTGAATAATTGTTTTAAAAGATAGCTTTAATTATTTAAAACTAATATCATATAACATTTAATATTTTAAAAAATTGATATTTTTACATCAAATATTAAAGTGAAATGAGTGACAAGAAAGGAAAAATAGAGAGTGAAGAGAAGAATAGGGAAAAGAAGGACGATGTATGAAGATTTTCATGTAGAATATTTGTTCTCTCTCATGTTGTAAATGAGTTTTTCAATTACCAACCTGTTGCTTTTCTGGCGTGCGGTCAAGTCTAACCTATTTTCTCTTTCCTACTAATAATAGTCTCCTTAACATAATAATAAAAAAACCTTAACAAAGAAAATCACTACTTTAAACAAATCTTCAAACAGATTTGATAAGTAAATGCAATAACATATGATACTACATGTGTCACAATATTGAGATTTCTATAAACTATTTGTACTTAGTATATGTGTTTATAAAATTAATTACAATATAAGATGAGTTCGTGTTTATATATATATATATATATATATATATATATATATATATATATTATTTAGTTTGTAATTAAACTAAAATAATTAAATAACGGTTTCTTATGATTTTTTTTTTAAATTTTAGTGACTATAACAAATAAAGTTTTTTGGTAACGGATAACAAATAGTGCTTTAAAGGCGCCCTCGTGATGGATATAAACTGTTTTAATACTCAAACTCATCAAATGTCTTGAGTTCATTAAAACACATTTCAATTACCAAATACGTAAGAACTAAGGACTACTTTATCATACTTACTATTAAACTCACCTTCTTTGTTACTTTATATTAATAAAGAAAATGCATTACACAAATTAAGATTTTGATGAAAATATCAAAAAGTTAAAAATCCAACTCAATAAATTTTACATTAAAATAATTGTGAATTAAATATTATTTTTTACGTGTGTTTGAATGTTGATAGTTATTCACCCAGCTAATTGTGAAATTGATGAGAATATCATCTTGTATAATGTAACATTTATCATTTACATAGCGTTGATTCTTCTTTCTCTATAAGTTTTTCTTTCTTTAGATAGTTCATCTTGTCTTTGTTTCATGGTCATTCTTTACCTTCTGCTTGTTGTACTTATTTTCATCTTTATCTGATTGTTGCATTCTTAAATTCTTTATAATATTACATAACCTATTAATTAAATAAAAAAAAGTAGTAACAAAAATAAAATGATGAATGGGAGATAAAAGTTCATGTGAGTATATCCTACCAATAACATATGGAATGTTCTATCTTTAGTTAGAAACGAGAGTGTCTAAGATTCTAAAATTAATGACATTTAAAAGTGAAAACTAACATTAAAGATATATATAAATATTTCTCTATAAAAGTAGGTCAACAAACTTGGGAATGAAATTTAAAACAAAAAGAACGTATAATTGAGGGGATCGGTGAAAATGTGTTAAGACTAAAATTTACATATCAAACGAGTGAATAGAGAAAAGAAATATTTGACCGTTAGAAGGAATAAATGTAATAATTGAAAAATGTATATTATGAAAGTAGAAGAATAATCGGTATGAGGTATCAAAGAAGTTAGAGGATTAACAAAAGAATCAAAGAATGAAAAACATCGAAGCACAAAGACACAATGTATCGAAGGAATAAAATATCGAGAAGAAGTTATATTGGAGGATCTTCGAGTGGTGTATCGAGAGACTTATGGAGACAGTTATAATATAATTTCATAGCATGTGCAGTTACAAGTGACACATCAACAAAGTGGAGTAAAGAGAAGTAGTTACAAAGAAATAACCGTTCAAAGACTCTAATTTATAGTTTTTTTTTATATTTCCATTATTTATTTATTTTTATTTTTATTTTTATTTTTATGACATCTTGGCGGTTACATTAAACAATATATATGATAAAATAAATGTAACCAAGGTGATTGTCAAATTGTACGAAGAAATTTACATTCTGAAAAACATTGCAAATTGAGAACAAGCATTTTCAATGGAGTTATTTGCAATTTGGATCGTCATTTTTGTTGATTTCCTTTATCAATTTTTGTTTTATGTTTGGTAATGAATTATATTTATTTTTCTTGCACATTTACTTTTAAGCAATTTACTTTTACAGTTCTTTACTATTCTTGCAATTTACTTTAAATGTTTCAGATTGTATTAAATATAAAAATTGAATACAAACGATCTTTGATTGAATTCTATTGTGTACTACATTTTGAATGAATTTAAGAAGCCAAATAGTGTTTAAGTAATTCTTTGCATAAACTTGTTAATTATATCGAACAATGAATTATTTATACTAGAAATAAATTGACACACCCAGTGGGACTATCTAACTATATAGTGCATGGTATTGAAAAGTGGTAAAGTTATAATGACAAGTCAAAACACCCCAACTTCATTCTATAGTAATACCCAATGCTATAATAAATAATGATGAGAGTCAAAATTGGGACTTTAGAGTGACATTGTTCAGGTCGTAAATAGTAATCCGAATATTGGTAGTTAAAGTGGTCAAGAAACGATTCAACCAATAAATAACATGATAAACAATACTGGTATAGGACCACATATGACTAGTGGGAGCACGCCAATCTAAAGAAATAATTAGGGAATTCTAATAGCGGAAAGGTATCCCTAGGGAATGCCATCATGACAACCAACCTCAAATTCTAGTAAGATGAATGATCAAAGTCAAAATTAGTTGAAATTGGTAAATGATAGGGGGAATAATAGAAATCAAGGTGACTTTGATAACATAAACACTGAGATATCAAATAGCATGTTAGGGGTCATAAGACAACAAATGGACGATAATAACCATGAAATGATCAATATGTTGTCCTAACAAATGAATATTATTTTAAATCCATTGGTACAAACAACTACTGATAGTTTTCAGAGGCTAGAAGAGCAAATGACAAGAATAATAGATGTGTTTGCTATCCCAAGGAGGCATAACATAATAAATGATAATATGCCAACATGAAATAATCAACTAACTGTACCTCCTAAAGAACAAAACAATAATAATCGAAATATGAGAAGAAACAATTATAATTTGCAGAGGGATATTAGGATGGTCAATAAGGGTCAAGCTACGGATCAAATTTTACATGTTTGGGATAATGTAAGAAGGAATAATCAGAATAATGGGAATTGTTAACAAAACACTTATAATCAAGTAATCGGACATTGGAATAAGCTGGATAAGGGAATTAGATTATATAATCTGTCATACTTTATTTCACCATTTCCTGATTTTGTGTTAGAAATTGAGTTGCCTAGAGGGTAGAAAATCCCAAAGTTTAAAAAGTTTGCAGGTGATATTGGGGATTTTATCGTTGAACATATAATTAGGTATCAAATTGAGTGTGAGAATTTACTAACGAGTGAGAGTTTAATAATGAAATATTTTCCAAGTTCTTTAACAAAGAATGCTTTTACTTGGTTCACAACACTGTCTCTGAATTCAATATTTAATTGGGCATAATTGAAAAGAAATTTTTATGAGAAATTTTTTAAAGGGGAAACTTCAGTTAGTTTATTGATCTGATGAATGTGAAAAGATATAATAATAAAAATATAGATGATTACTGAAATAGATTTAGACAAATGTGATCAAGGTGTTTTACCCAAATTCTTGAAAGAGAGGTAAATGGCAGTGACAAGGTTAGGGTTTTCGATAAGGAAGAAGTTAGTAAATGCACCTTTGAGGGATATGACTCAGTTAGTGGATAAGGTTTGAAGGATCAAACATATTAGATATGAAATAGTAAATTTGGTAAGGTGGCGAAGAAGGATAAAATTGGATATGTTGGGATAAATAAGTTTAAAGAATTGCTAGATATTTTAGAGGAAAATGAGGATGAAGAACTAAGTGAAAATGATGAGGAAATAAATGTAGCTGAAATTAAAATTTGTCCACCTTATGTTTGTAACTTCTTAAAAAAAAGTGAAGTTTTTGACAATATGACAAATCAAACCTATAGTTTTGATGTGACTAAGGCAGATAAATTTGTTGATATTTTATT